CCTTTGTAGCTCTTCTAAGTTATTTGGTCTGAATTTGCTGTAGCAGCAATGACTCTCTTTAATCACTATATTTTATACATATAAAACAAAACACTCATTCTTAGATTGTGTGTGTGTAACACTTCATTATTTAAAGAAGTTAAACATCTGAAGGAAAATTATATACAAGAGCTGCATTACCAAAGAGTATTAGAATTATGGCTTGAATCAACAAAAGCATGAAAAATCAGTTAACAAGCAAGCCATGGATATAGTCCCTAGGCAGAACATTACCCTTCTGTGCCCAGTTGTAATTAGCTCTTGATTTAAATCCTAACTGTGAGCTTCCAAGCTCTTGTTGATTTAAATCAGAACTTTGATGATCTTTTCTTTCTTTTACTTGAATTTGGTACCACAGTGTAGACAAATGTAATATGTAGATTTTATGAAAGCTGACAGTTAGTAAATCAATATTATTTTGCTAATAAATTACCAGGCCAGCTTCAAGCGGCTTTTCAACTCTTTCCCATGGGACAAATGGATTGAATTGGCTGGAGTTTAAATCAACACTGTTGGCACTGATTTAATCAATGATTATGAAGAAGGCTTTGTTGGCACAAACTTTTACTTTGATCATCCTAGTAAGTTAGAGTTTTTTAATTAGTTACAGTTTGGAAAAATGGCTTTTGTCAAAAAGTTTAGTAAGTGAAAATTGTACATTATTTAGGGCTCTAAATGACATTCTGTCTGTTAATATCATGTGGCTGGTTTTAATAAAAACAATGTTCTGATTACTTTAGAAGTTATCACCGTAACCATCCAAAGAAATTAGCTTTCTGAGAGAAAGTCACTGAACTTGTTTTCTTTTGCATTGCAAGGTTCATCAAGTTTTGCTTTCTTTTTTTTAATAGGGTAAAACAATATTTTCATTTGCCTTTGGAATAGAGGAGATAATTTTAATCTTTGATTTTACACACAGATTTTTTTAAAGTGATTCTTCTGTTGATTTTTAACTTGTGATTCCCTAAGAGGTGCTGAGCACTTTCTGCTCATATTGGAATCAGTTGGTTCATTTTCAGGATCCCACATTTCAGAGTTGGCATCTGAAGTGAACCCCCCCTCCCCCACAGTGCTGACTTTAATATTCCTCAGGGATGTAGGCGGAGCAGGACTCTATCATTTCTGGAACAGTTAGCTGGCCTGTGTACATTTTTAAAGCTTGCAGTAAGCGTTTGTCAAATTGGTAACCTTTAGGGAACAAGAAGGTGAAGAAGCTGCCGATTTATACAGTTAGACTAAGTAAGTTCGTTATGTTTCAAACTGAGATGCTTTGCTCCCTCATTTATGTCATACACTGGTTAACAGAAAATGTCTTCTTTTGCGCTTTTTTGGAATCTAATTACCCTTTGGCTGGCAGGAAGACAGTTAAAATTTGGCAATTTTATGATGACACTTTACTTTTCTAAAAAACAAACAAACCCTAAATTTTAAAAGAAAAAAATTATTATTATGAATGTTGTGGTTTGTGCTCTTTGTTTAACTAAACTGTTGCTTAATTTAACAATTACTCCTTACACCAACACTCAGAAATAACACGCAGCCCCCACAGGGGCCAAATCCTCCCCAAAGGAGCTATAGCCCCTTCCTCAGGGCCCAGAGCCCTCCTCAGTGCCCAGAGACCCCCCTGCATAGCCCCAGCCCCCCCTCCACATGGCCCACAGCTCACGCACAGCAGCAGCGGCCATCAGGGCACTCAGGGCCTCCTGGCATAGCCCCCCCACATGGCGTGGGGCAGCATGTCTTGGCCCCAGCCATCTGGCATCCGGCGCTGCCTCCGCCACATCACATGGGTGTGGCCCAGCCTGGTGCGGTGCAATGCCACACAGGTCCATGCGCCTTCAGGCAGCTTTGGGCTGCTCAGGCTGTCATCTGGGGCTCTGCGCCACTCGCGGGGACTGCCTGTCACACCGGGCCAAGTCCTGAATGCACAAAACCAATTCAGCCTGATGGTGCATGAGGCCCGTGCACACAGGACCCAGCTTGGCACAACAGGCAGTCCCCGTGAGCGGCGTGGGGCCCTGGGTGACAGCTTCAGTGGCCCAGAGCTGCCTGAAGGCACACGGCACTGTGCCAAGACAGGCCAGGCCCGTGTGATTTGCTACAAGCAGTGACAGGTGCCAGGCAGCTGGGGCCAAGCCACTCTGGGGCCAGGCAGCTGGGGCAGGGAGGGCTTTGCCAGGACAGCCTTGAGCACCCTGCTGGGCTGCTGCTGTGGGGGGGGGGGGTGCTGTGGGCTGTGCGGAGGGTAGGTGGGGGACCTACTCCTGAGCAACCCCCTGGCTCCAGTCCCCCACAGCCCCAGTCCCTTATTTACCTGGGACACAGCCAGGGTCCGTGCAGGCTGCACTGCTCCTGTCTGCCCTGCCTGCACATGGTGGCAGCATGCTTCAACACCGGGGCATAGCGATGCTCTGGCTGGCTACCAAAGCATCTCTTTGGAGGTCCCGAGCCTTCAGGTGCCTCAGGACTGTGCCCTGCCCTGCTTTTTTTCTGTGGGTTTTATTTTGATACCTGGATATCCAGGTATCTAGTTCTGAGACCCCGCCGCTGCAAATATGCAGTGTGGGGAACATATTTTTGTTCTTCTGGTCCACTTCTGGGTCTGCCAGGAAGTGTGCAGGGGGCCCCCTGTGCCCCCCTAGCTCAGTAACTGGTGCCTCCTGGGTCGGGGGGGGGCACCCTAGGTCCCCCTATGGGCTCAGCAGCGGACCTAGAAGTGGTCTGGGTTTGCCACCAAGCATGCAGGGGCTCCTCTGCACTCCTGTGGGATGCTCCATCCGCCCCAGCATTGCAGCAATCACAAGCTGCACCTGCTACCTCAAGGTATGTAGAGAAAACTTTTAAAGTTATGTCCATGTTTGAATCGCTGATTCTCTGAATCAGCATTGAAACTTCAGAGTTGGCCAAATCAAATCGGGGATAGTGTTCCGAATCAACGGGTCAAATCACTGTCCCTGATTTGGGCCAAATCCGAATTGAATATGGCCTGTTTCACACACCCCTACTACACAGTACATTTTTTTTTGAAGAAAAGTTTTTGGAAATTCCAAGCATGAAAGGACAAAAGTATGTTATAAATAAAAAATCATACTGAAAATAGAAAACGGTATTTGAGGAAGCTGCTAATTTGACCTTCCTATTCAAATAAATAATTGCTCTAGATCAGTGGTTCCCAACCTCTTTGGAGTCAAGGCACCCCTCTGAAAATGTCAGCTAGTAGTTTTCACTCATTTTTTGGCTCTAGATAGCATCCTGGTTGAGAATCACTGTTCTAGATTAGAATAATAAATAGGAACTGTAGCTCTTTTAAAAGAGGACACTGAAGGTTTGTAATGCAAGTTATGTTACATTTTAGACCTCAGCGTGGTCAGAGCCAGACTCTATTTGATCTGCTTTGGCAAAGTGTTCTGCTGCAGGGTTCCTGCTGCTGGCCCTTACAAATCCTGGTATATGAAATGCATCTATGCATTTAAGCATTCTTCTGAGTGGTAAAAAGCTACTCTCTGTCGTTTGTCATGTTCAGTTTAATTAAAAACACTGAACCATGCAGTTTGGTCCTTATCCTGGTATGGGATGAGCATCCAGAGCTCCCTGTGAGTTCAGCAAGAACTGTGGGCAAACAACACTTGCAGACAGCCTATATTGTCTGTATAGGAAATAGGTATTGATAATGTGATCTGATCTTTTTAAAACATATCTAAGAGAAGTTTTAAAAATAATCTAGCTGGAATGAGTGTACCATATTCTGGTATTATAAAAATAAAAGCAAAAGTCAAAATACTGCTGCTTTGCCAATTAAAACAGCTGGACTGTTGTGCAGACTGGAATATTACTCTGTCTGTATTACTGGGGAAGTATATTTCATGTGAAGAGATTATACTGTAGTTCTGGTTTGGTAGGACAAAATGTAATGTGTTTTTGTTTGCAGAATCTTACACTCTGAACAACCCTTGTTAATTAAGTTATAAGCAGTTTGGGTGGGAATTTGTCCAGAGGTTTCTCATATTAGTGTCATGATGGAACCAGAAAGACCACTTTAAAAATGTTGAACGACAAACAAGCATTACTGGCTGGCTCTTTATACTTATATAAAACTTGTATAAATTCAAATGCTGTTTCTTCTCTTTGTGTGGGTCAAGTGGTATAAAATCTAGTTTTCATAAAAATCAGTAATATTTTAGATAAATTTATAAAAGATTTATAAACTTAGCCTTCTTAACTCCTTGTTTTCTGTCAAAGAAACTAACCTGCTTCTTAGTGTTCAACTAATGGTACAATACTTTTTTTTACTTTGGACTGTTTTCCCTTTTCCTATGGTATTATTGTTGAGCGAGAGGGGGAAGCGATGCAGAGAGTAAGGGATTTGTCTTAAGTCACACTTGAAGTATGAGCAAGAACCAGGGCTTACACCTACATTTCCCTAGTTACAGGCCAGTGCCTTAAGTGCGAGAGACACTTCTCTCTCAAGCCTTTCCTTTTCTCTGGAAACAATTTTTTACACATCTAGAATTCTTCATCATGGAAACTGGTGTTGCCATCAGATCAGCATTATGGCATGTATGAACAAAAATACATGTGCCTGATACCAGAAGATATAGGAAACAGTATGATGGCACAAAGAAAATTTGCAGACTTTCTTTGGGACGCCTCTTGGGAGCTCTGTTCTAAAGCATGTAATAAAGCAAGCAGTGGATAACAAACCAGGGTATTTGGCTAATACAGTTCTCTGAAAAGGAGGCCAGTCTTGATGACCTCTCATGTTCCAACAGTGTTGCCATTTGTAACTTGCTGCAATTTTGAATGTTCTTTTTCAAAACAGGACTTTAATCTTAAACATACATCTCTGAATATATCATTGCCCTCTACAAGTTCAGTAGTCTTCTACACAGAAATAATCAGCGAAAGAACCTAATAGACTCCAAGCAGATTCAGGCTTTTTTTTTCCCCTCTGCTTTTTATAGACCTCCAGAATTACACGCTCTGATGAAGATAAAGAAGGTGGCTGGGATGCCTGGGGAGCCTGGAGTGATTGCTCTCGGACTTGTGGAGGGGGAGCCTCATATTCTCTAAGGAGATGTTTAAATGGCAGGTTAGCTACACACTTCATCTATATCTTCCTTTTCAGCTGTGCTGTGGTTTTCTGTCCCCTTCACCTATGATACAATGTCTTGTGAAACACTATTTCTTCTCTTCGTGTGAGTCAAGTGGGGTGAAATCTAATGGTTTTCATAAGTTGTTGGTTGTAACTGTGTTGGTCTAAGGACATAAGCAGACAAGATTCTTTGGGTAAATGTGCTGTCTTTTATTAGACCATCTAAATAGTTGGAAAAATTGTTCTTTGCAAGCTTTTGTGCACAAGCACCCTTCTTCAGGCATTGGAGAGGTGACTCTCTCTTATGCCTGAATAAGGGTGTTTGTCCCTCAAAGCTTGCAAAGAACATCTTTCCCAATGTATTTAGTTGGTCTAATACAGTGGTTCCCAACTTTTTTTTTTCTTTTTTTTTCTGCGTGCTGCTGCTGTGAGTGGAGTGTGGCAGCAGTGGCCGGGGGCGGGGGGCCCGGCATGCCACGTGGCTCGTCTTTTGGGTGCAGTGCCACTGGCATTGCCCCTGCAACCCTTATTTGGGTTGCGACCCAGGGTTGGGAACCACTCACTGGTCTAATAAAAGATATCACATTTACCCAAATAACCTTGTATGCAATGGTTTTCATAAGAATCAGTAACGTTTTAGATAAATACCTAGGCTTCTTAATTGTGTGCTCAACTGCTGTTCTGTACTGGGGTATTAAAGAGCAAGAATGACTCATTTTATGTTACACAAAGTTCCCACCACTAGGAAGTAGATGTCCAAATCTATGTTATGCATACCTGTTTGTATGTCCCTAGCAGATGTATTCAGTGGAATGTTTTGCACAGTGTGCAGTGGCAAGATGGGTGGTGTTCTTCTAATCAAAACCAACCAATTGTGCTACATGAAGGATATTGATTGCCCAACCATTCTCCACCCTGGAGAAACTCCCTTAAGTGGCTGTCTCAAGGGGAGTTGAAGGAAGAATGGTGATCTCATTGCTTCTGGAGATGAGCAGTAGTGTGTAGGGGGTTGCTTTTTTGAACAGCTGTAGAAGACCTTGAATTCCTACCCTGCCTGCCTATCATGTTATGAAAATTGCAGTTTATCCATTAATCCTGCACTAGCTCCTTAATATCTCCTGGGTCAGCAGTGATGGGGTGAGGGAAGAAGTCTTCATCACAGTAGTCTCAGATTCTCTGCTTAGCTATACATAGTTAAGAATTAAGACTTTAGGCACACTGGATGTTTTAAACTTCTTGGCTCAGATTGCCAACCAAGAGTCTGTTCCTAGTAGCCTCTGATGTGTCGTCATAAACTTAACGTAGTGCTATTAGCCTGTGTTAGGAAGAAGGTATCTGCTGAATGCCTCATAAAACATTTCACATCTGCTGGAGAGGTCTGTTTCCTTCCCAAAAAGGAAGTCCTGTAGCTACCACCTACTAATTTCATACCACACTTTTGGATAAGCCACTGTGGAGCTTGGAAAGTAAACTGTTTCTAATGAAGAATGTGTTATAAATCCAAACTGTATAAAAGGGTTTGACTTTAGCCCTTTAAGTTCAATCCACCTATGTGTGTAAAGCTTACTAATTTAATATAGGTCCTGATCTCACAGTCCTTCTAGTAGACCTGTAGTTATAAGAAAGGATTACTGAAGTGCATAGGAGTTTCAGTATTGGGTCCACAATTCCTTTTGTTATTGAATTCTTCCTGAATTACATTATTCAAAACATGTATCAATTATGTTTAAATTTCCATATTGTTAGGTTTTCACTTTATATGGCATAATAGCCAGAAAATCAATTTTTCTTAATAAAGACTTGTAATGTGATATCCCAGTCAATGTGAAATCCATGGCTAAAGCTGACCATTATTAAAACAGTTCCTGTTTCTTTTTTGTGCAGAATGCAAGAAACTCTTTGAATATACCAACATTTTCAACAAACAGCCACAATATTCTTTCACTGTGTTAGTGACTGTAAAATGAGTGCAATAAATTGTAGCAATATAAATTTCAGTGTTTTTTTATTAATATTTTAATGTATTCCCCTGGGGGGAAAAACATGTGTTTTCTATACTTTGACAAATTTATAGTTTAAAAGTTTTTTGTGTATTTTTATTGTTGTTGTAATGTCTAGGAAATATAAAGCTGTGAAACAACATTTTCACATGTTTATGCAGCATGAACATAATTAGCATATATGTTGTTACACAGTGATTCCCAGGACAAGTAGGAAACTGAAGACAATGTTTTGAGCCGGGGGGTTGCATCTTTGGATCAGCTGAGTTAAGTTTTGCCCCACGCCTCCAGAAACCTGGCCTTTTTATCAGTTTCTCATACATTTTATTGGATATTTTTATAATTGGATATTTTTTATAATCTTTTGCCAAATTGAAAATGATGCAAAAAGAAGTAAATTCAGTTTGTGAGATGCAACTGCTTGCTACCACTCATTCTGTTGGTGTGGAAGGCAGGTTTTATTAGCACTATGTGGCTGTTCACATAACTCTTCTAGATTGTAGAAACTACATTTAATTACAAGGTAATTACTTGTAAAGCTATTTAAAATATCTACCTGTACCTATTTACTTTGTCTGCATTCTGACTCCCTTATTTGAGATGAGTAGTAGATTACTTTATGCAAACTCCCAGTCAGTGGGGTCGCTCCTAAAGTGACAAGACTAAGGAATTCTTGAAAACCTGGCCCTTCTAGTGTGAACTCCCCCAGTGCTCATAGGAAATGAATACAGTACTTATGGAAAGTGCAATATATAATTTCTTCATTAATGGGGAACCCTTTCAGTTGTCAGCAAAAGTCTTTGCAAAAGTTTGCATTTTCCAGATTTCAGGGTTCACATGTAGTTGGCACCTAAGAAATATATATATTTTTATTTATAGTTCATTTAAATTAAGACAGATTGTAGGTATAGAGCAGTGCTTCAAAAGCTTTTCAGAGCCATGGCTGACTGTCACCTCTCAATATTTCCTGTGGACTGTATAACAGCATCATCTAACTTTTAATTGAAAAAGGGAATGAGAGGAATTAATGCCCATTAGACATGTGCTCGATATGGCCAAGACAGTGCGATTCCCTTCTGAATCTTCTCCCCTTCCACATATATCAGGACAAACACTGGTGAAGCCAACTGACTTCCATCAGCAACGTAAATGTGTCCTGCATAACATTCGTAGCAGGTTGGGATCATGATATGGGAAACTCAACAGGAAAAACAGGTTGTTTGTGGACAGATAACACTGCAACCTTCAGAATTTGCAGCCCGCTTTGTGGAGGTTTGTGTTTAAGGCTTATATTTTGGGTACAAGTTACATAAGAGTAGTAATAGAGTAATAACAATCCAATTTTCAAGAGAATAAGTAGTTATAAGAGATGTAGGATTTTTTACTGATATTTCTGATCAAACCCTTTGCATTCTGTTTTTCAGGAACTGTGAAGGTCGCAATATTCGATACAAAACCTGCAGTAACAATGTGAGTCTAACCTGTAATTTTGTTTTACTGCTTCCATCATTTCTTCAAATAATCTGTAAAGTTTCAGAAATTCTACTACTTGTTTAAAATCTAATGATGGATAGTTTTCTTTCCACTGTCTATTATTCCACATTTTAAAGATTCGATTGATGTCATCAGGCTTTGAGTTTGCACTTCCAAAATGGACATTAGTTCTTTGGAATCTTAGGGCACTTTTACATGTGCTCCAGCATGTTCTTATTAGGAAGTGCTGGAGCAGACTCACTTAATCGAGTCTGCTGGAGCATTCTAACCATCTTGTGTATTCAGTATCCCCCCATTTCAAAATGTAGGCAGGGGCACTTTAACTAATGCGTCTTGACTCAGCTTTAGTTAAAGCACCTCCTCCACCAATTTGAAATGCAGGACACCGAATACACAAGATACTGTGGGCATTTTAATTAAAGTGGCTCCTGACAGCCACTCCCTGTATGCTCTATACAAGAATATGCCTATGCATATTTCAACTTGTGCATTGTGACTACTTCCATACTAGTAGAAATAAATTTAAATACAGAATCCATGATGCAAAAAGAATAAAAATATACGTATTATGTATAAAGAAGATGAGACGCAAATAAGATCTGTATGTCTCTGTTGCTGGTACGTGTTGTAGGGCTTGATTCCCCACTTGACTGGCACCCTACCTCTGGTGATGTCAGGTTGGGTCTCTGAGTTAGCACCACCCAAGTGTTCTGGTTGCTGTTTCTGCTCGCCCGCCACAACTTGATGTTCTTCTTCTTGGGAGACAGTTCCCAGCAAGTGACTTGTGGGATCCCACACCCTGGTTCCTTCAAGGGGCTCCAGCCTCCCCTTCATCCCACCCTTACCACATCCAAGGCCAGAACGGATGTCGGTGTCTTGAGGTCTCAATTACAGATGTTCACTTCTCATCTGAAAGTCCCACCATTGAGGGATGCTCTCTCCCGGCCACCAGCTCCTCATAGGCTGTCCATTGGCTACAGACTGAGGCCACTGCAACTGAACTCGCCTCAATCCTGAGGTACTAGTGTTCTCATAAAGGAAAACCCAGAAGCAAACTTCAATGAAAATCAATCAGTGTTCACTGGTATGGACCCTGGATCATACTTCCTCAGGCCCCTGGCGGGGTGCCTCTTATCTCCCCCTTTAATGAGTTATGCTCTGTGGGCTTGGCAGCTCCCCCCTGTACCCTCATAGCCCAAATATGGACCCTCCAATGGGTCACCACCCCTTCTTACCTCAGCTGTGTCTGACCTGAAGCTGGGTCTGGCCAGGTCACTCTTGCTGTCACTCCAGCTGTCCATCTCAGTGGCCCTATTCTGCTCTCCGCTGTGCACTGGCCCCTTGCTGCTGCAGCCCCATGGCTCCATGCCACCAACTGTTCTGCTGCCCAGATTGGCCCCAAGCTTCTGCCCCTCTGCAGGGGGTTCCTGCAGGGTGTGTGTGGCTTTTCTGCCACACACACCCTGCTCCTGCTGCCTTGGTGCCACATGTTGCTTCCCTGCCGGGCTCGGCTGCATTCTGCGGCCCCTCTCCCAGGGTTCTTTGGGGAGTGCCTCTAGGGTGGCACACAGTCTGCTCCTGCTGGTCTCAGCGCCATGTGCCGCTTCCCTGCCGCTTCTCCTCTGATTTGCCAGTCAGGCTGCTCTGAGAATGGCATGCCTGAGCCTCTTGTCTCAGCATCCACCTGAAGCTGCTGCTTATCAGCCCACCTATGGTGAGTAATGGGGAAAGTCTGGGTGGGCTATCTCTTCCCCTTTCACAGTCTCCCCCATGTTTAAATAAACACATGCCCCCGTTCCCTCACCCTGGAGCACCTGTATAGGTGCCTGTAGTGCCAATTCTGATTCAGAATGTCCTGTGTAGACTATTAGGAAATCACACATTTTGGAGGGTTAGAAAGTCCATTTACATCATAAATTAACCTGTAATGTTCTTCCCAGAGATGTCATCTTTGAGATGAGGTACAAGACTCAATTCCTGACCACCCTCGAACAGGAGAAATCCTGTGACATTCTTATCCTAAGCATGGAGGTTAACTGCATTGCCTTCTTCCTCTTTCACATGTTTCCTTTGCACTCAGGCCCAGATTTTTATACTGAAATATTCAAAAATGTGTATATTGCACAGTTTCAGTGTTTACATCTATAAATGAACATCCGAGTTTGCAGTTGCCATTGCTGCTATGCGGTCATTGTAATCATATGTTGGAAATTGTGTATGTATACATTTTTACACAAACCTGTCTGAAAATGAGTTGCATATGGCATTTTTCATGTCTCATGCTAAACTGATTCAGAGTGGTGTTTTTTGCTGTTAAGCAGCTGCTGCATTTCACCCAGATATTGCTACATTCCTTTGGTTTGCAGCTATTAAAGCTCTTTGCAATCCTTCTGGATGTAAATGTACCATAAATCATTATAGGTTACTTACATGACAAGCAGTGAACTCCTGATATCAATTATCTGCTGGAGAAATACAGGGCTATGCGGGCATATCCCAGAAGAAGGCAAGTAACTAAATAATTAAAACAGAATCATGTTTTTATTATTAAAAAAATATCTTGTATTTCACTTTGTGGACTTGTTTTGGCTCCTTCCCCTTCCCTCCCTTCCCCCCTTTGATTCTGGGGGAGGGGAAACAATTTTCACACAAACAGTCCTGAACCAATGAGGCCTGTGGTGCCTTTGGATTGAATTATGTCCAAGAAAGTGCAGGTGGCAGTTACAACACTGCCAACCTCAGGAGTTCTGCCAAGGGCAGGCAGCTGCTGCAGTCTGACCATGGCTCTGGGAGGTCTGACATTGGAAGCTTCCCAGTAAATATGTTGGACCACTACATCCCCTTGGAAACCAAGCCATTCCCACTCCTCATCCTGCCCCACCTACATTCTCTGGTGTGCCAGCTCTGTACTGGCCCATTGAAGAACACCCTGAATTGCTCTGACACCCTACATCCCAGCTTTGGATGGATTTTCCACCATTGGGCCCATCACCTAAATCTCTCCTAGCAGAAATTAGTGGAAGCCATTAGTGAATAAAGGCTAGTACATGCAAAAATTGGATCCTGGAAACAAACCTAGTTAGTTACTAGGGGTGTGTGAAAGGGACTGGATTTGGTTTGGATTTGGATTTGGCCCAAATCAGAGACCGTGATTTGATTCGTTGATTTGGATCACTGTGCTGCTTTGATTCGGCCAAACCCAAATCTGAAGATTTGATGCTGATTCAGAGAATCAGCGATTTGGCCATAGATACAGCTTTTTAAAATGTTTTAAAATGTTTTTCCTACATGCCTCAAGGTACAAAGCATAGCTCATGAATGCTGCAATACTGGGGCAGATGGAGCATCCCATAGGAGTGCAGGGAGGCCCCTCGTGTGCTCAGCGGCGAACCCGGAAGTGGACTGGAAGTAATTCTGGTCCACTTCCGGGTCTACTGCCAAGTGCGTGGGGGACACCCCCTCCCCCCTGTGCTCTACTCAGCTCGGCAATCGGCGACGGGGGGACCCCACATGCCCCCTCACATCCAGGAGGCACCAGTCACCAGCTGGGGGATGCGGGGGGAGGTCCCCCATGCGCTCTGCGGCAGACCCGGAAGTGGACCGGAAGTGCTTCTGGTCCACTTCTGGGTCCACCACCAAGCACGCTGGGTACCCCTCACCATGTGCTCCCGTGGGACACTCCATCCAGCCCAGCATCACAGCATTCACGAGCTAGCTTGAGGTATATAGAAAAAACATTTAAAGCTGTGTCTATGTCCAAATGATCGAATCTCTCCAAATTGATTCAGAGGGTTCCAGTTTGATTCAGAGAGATTAAAGGGTCTCCTGGCTTGATTCGGATTTGGAGATTTGGCTGCCGAACTGGGCCAAATCTCCACCGAATCGAATCGAATCGAATCAGCAATTGAAGCTTTACACAGCCCTATTAGTTACTATTACAAAAGTAAAGGCCTACCAGTCTACTAGCAATGCCTCTTACTTGGCATCTGTGTCTTGAAAAGGTAAATGCCAGGTTCAGACAAATAACCTAATAATTTTAAACTATGTTATAAAACAAGATGTGTCTAGCAAGTACAGCAATAGACAACTATACATTTGTAGTTTCTCTTATCTGAATAAACCCTGTATGCTATATACAGGAATATGCCTATGCATATTTCAATTTCTGCATTGTGATTGCTTCCATACTAGCAGAAATAAATTAAATACAGAATCCGTGATGCAAAAAGAACAAAAATATACATACTATATAGAAAGATTGAGAAGCAAACAAGACCTATATGTCTCTATCACATTTTAATAAACAGAAGGCTGTGTGCTGAAAGCTGTAGGAATAGCAAAGTATAGAACTAATGCAGGTACTTGTGATTTCAAAGGTTATGTAACCAAAATTACTGTGAGAATCTATCATGAGACTGTTTATGAATCTGAAAAGTCTTCAAAGATTTCAAGGTAGGAGCCTGACCCCAGCTGGAGTTAACGAGTCTGTTGCCATTTGAAGTCCACAGGAGTAGGTTTTCTTTCCTAGAACTTTATATTTTAAATGACAGGTGGCTGAAAACAGAAATATTAAATCTGAGTCTCCTAGAATTGTGTATTTATAACTTTTGCACCTGAACCTGCTTTTAAGGGTCATGTCTGGCATAGGTCTGGTACCCAGTTCTGGTTCAGATCTACCCTGAATCTCTCAAAGTCCTTTCCCCCTTGATTTCAGATTTTTTGGAATGCTTCTGAGAAGCGTTGGTCCCAGGAGATGTACCAAACTTTATCCAGATTTAGGTCCTCTAGCCTAACTCTTCTTAAAATAAAATTGTCCAATTATTATTTTTAAAGAGTGATTCCCATTTTATGAGTCATTTTTTTGTTTGAAAATTAGGAGTTTATACTAGCTTCTTTCCCCATGCATAGGTATTCTTGTTAACCACTTGAGAAATTCAGTATATATACTATGTAAAATTGTCTGCAAATGTAATTTTGCTACATGAGACATTACACCACTAAAATCTATATTGAGGAATACAAACGAAGCACAACTTAATATGTATGCCATTTTAATGAAAAGAACAAGAATCATTTTACCAGAAAATTAGTTTCATCTGGATTTGTAATTGAATAGTAGTAAGTTCACTGAACTCAAGCAGCGTAAGGAGGTCCCAGAATAATATTAATGATATTTCAATCAGAAAATGAGTTTGATGTCTTAGCAAGAAAAGAATTGCTTGGATTATTAATCTAAATGAGTCACATGGTTATGTTTTCATCTCGTCTGTGATGCCACTTGCTTAATTTTTAAAAAATTGTATGTATGCTTTAATCTTTTTGTTGATACTTAAGAGAAATAAACTATTCATTATTTGCTATTCAGTGAAATTTTCAATCTTCCTTAAGCCCTCTATTTTATATTTCCATTTTTGTATATACTGTTACATTCTAATGCTATGAGGTGCAGGATATGGAAGTGTTTAAGATAATCCTTTAGGGTCCTATTCATTGAATAAGCTATTTGGGCCATTTCCCCATAAATTTATGATTTTTATATGCCAAAAAGTCACTTAAGCTTTTTCCAGAGTGATTCTCTCCTAGTCAGAAATAATACTATACAGTTATAGATTTGTCCATGTATAAATTCATTAAACTCCATTATATACTTCCATTACATGGAGATAGTTCTCACACCTGTTCAGAATACCTCATTTAATCCTTGTCCTGGTATTCACATGCCAACCATCCAATGTTAACCCTCCCTGTGTTCTGCTCAGAGCACCTTAGCTGATTTATATATATTCTAGTCCAAGCATATTTAACTTTTTTCTATCTGTGCATCTCCCATCTATCTGCATCTATCTCTAATCTTTACTAATTATGCTGCTGTTCAGTGTAAACCTATGACACATCACATGTAGCTGATGAATTACGTACTCTTGGACAGTCATATTACAATATTTTCACTTCAGCCTGCTCCCAAGACTTCCTTATCTCTCTCTCTGCATATCTACCCTTCTTTTTCCTGTTTATCTAATTCTCTCCTTCATTACCCCTCCCCTTCACTAAGTGGAACTGATACGACACTTGCAAACCCAAATACTGTTCATTCTGCTTCTATCTCTTATATCCCTTTGGATTCCCTCTTGTCTATGTTTTGTGCTTAATTATAGACCTTATCACTATACATAGTTCTACTATGTCTAGAACAGGGCCTTGATCTTAGCTGGTGTCTAGGGCTAGGTAGAGACATTCAAAAAGCCCGAGGCAGAATCCATCTAAGTTAAACAGTTTTCTGTACGTGGTGTAGTTTAGATCAGTAGTGAACAGAACAGACATCTTTTGATGAGAGGCAGCAAATCTTACACTGGGTCCGCCATTTTTAAACCAGTTTATGCGTGCTGAATTTCTGCTCTGTTATGGGTATAGACTGGTTTTTGATCACTTATCAAAAGTAAAAGTGTAATGTGTATACCTGGCCCAAGTCTGGCTGGGGTCTTATGACCCCTCCCACCCCCAGTGCTCCTTCCTGCCCATGGCAGGGGGTCAGACTAGATGATCTGTCTAGGTCCCTTCCCACTCATGGATTCTGTGATTCTATAAGTCAGCGATTCTCACCTGGAGTGCTACAGTATCTGGGGGGTGCTGTGAGTGAGTTGCAGGATGCCATGTAATATTAACACTGTTAGATGTGCACACACCTACACATGATTCACAAGATAAACCCAAGGATTTCAAATAGAAATCCAGTGTCAAAACCATTCTGACATGTTGAGGTCTATCTGCGTTCTTTGCAATGTAAGTATTGCTCTATTTTTTTCTGTAATAAATAAACAGGTGAAATTAGTCTTGAGTCAGGTGAAATGGGGTGCCACTTAATTCATAAAAGTTTTGGAGGGTCTTGAGTTTAAAAAATTGAGAATCACCGGTCTAGGTATTACCACAATGCAATCTACTTGCTCTTATTAATAATGAATCCTGCCTGAGGCTCTTTCAAGCTGCTATGTTTGAGCAGCATTCAAATGTTAAAGTAGATGCATCAGAGCAATTAAACAAAATCTGCCACGATCCCTTTATGTCCCTTGAAGTTGCTAAGAAAGAACAAAGGAAGAGCAGGCAGAAATGAGGGGGAAGAGGGAATAACTGTTGTTTTGTATAAAAGCAGTGGGAGATGCATAATAATCGTGGAGCGACAGCCAGCATTATGGTGTTTGTGTCATGGCTTAGCATCAGCACTTGTGATTATGAATTGTAATGGCACTATGTCAATACCAAGTCTAAGGATATCACTCCATGGTTATTTTGTGGGGGGGGTTCTCTGTACTACTTTGTGATGAAAATGTGGTTGTGCAGCTGTTTGAGGTCTAGTTTGGCATACTGTGTTTAATTATGTTCAAAGCTAACTTATCTCGATGTAGAGCATTATCAGAGAACTGTGTGGTGCCCATTTAAATTCTGGGTCTCTTGACTCTTGTCCACCCCACATGTTCTCTTCTATAGAAGATGAGAGGCACCAGATTAAAGCAGAGCCTGTTTCTATTGTAATTTACAACAACAGTGTGATTCCAGGGAACTTGTCTGGAGTTGCACCTCTGGAAATGAGACAATAATTTGGCTAGGTATGCATATGATACTTTCCAGCATAGCCTCTGCAGATTCTTAAAGAGGGAACAGAACTAAGATTCAGAGTAATTTTTCTTTCAGTCTTGTTCCCTAATAGTATGCTTTTAAAATAATTTGACTCATTACAACCAAATGGAGTTGCCCTATGTTAAACATAATCAAAAAACAAGGTACTGTCATTTTGAGCTACTTTTTCCCTTAAGGTTTAGCACTAGATGGAGTTTCAAAGTACTGGATGGATTTTGCTTGCATGAATCCCATTGACTTTTTGGAAGTGTGTGCCCAAACCCCTGCAAACTGGTCTGAAAACGTAGGGGTTATTGTTTTAATGAGATATTTGACATGTTGCACAAAGAAGTCAGTAACACTATTTGACTACTCTTGCTTACCAAGGCTTAGAATAAACAAATAGACCATTATAAAAGGACATAGGTTAATGCAGTAGCTCCTCTGTAAGTCATTCGACCCTATGAGGATGACGTGATATCTGTAAGAGGGACTCATAAGCAGAATGCAACGCTTACCCTTCTCATCCAAATCTCTCTTCCAGCTACTCCAAGTTGTAACCAGTGCTGTGTAGAGTAGTTGCAAATGCATTAGCATTTTCCAGGGGGGATTTAAATCCATCAACATGAATGGCGTTGATGCATAGTTCAGGTGCAGCTTTGCTAGCTGACACTTAGTAACAAGTTCCATGAGTTTAGTTGACATGTCAGTGTTTCATTTTTCTATCCAATAAAAATAAAACTTTGTTAGAATCAGCCTCACATCTGGCATATATATGTGGATGGAATTCTTGGAAGAATACACATTAAGTTTAGCATATGGAGTGATTGATACTGGACAAGCATTTAGTGAGCCTTTAGTGAGAGAAGATCTGTTACACTAATATATAATTTTTAATAGGAGAAGAACTTTGGTAAGGATCTGACAAGAGAAAATATATATTCTCTTGTCAGATCCTTACCATATATATATATATATACACACACACACACTCCTGTTGCCATAGCTTTATCCTAATATCACCAAGTGAATAATTTTACAATGAAAAACTTTAAAATAATTTATTTCAAAGACTGTAAATAAGGAATTTCAGATATTTAAAAATGAACTTTATTTGCTTGAGGAAAAAAGAACTTGAGTTCTCTACTAGTACTAGAAATAGAATTACATAATCAATCATGACAAATTTGAGGTGTATTTTACTTACAAACAAACTAACTGTGACTTTTCCCATGAGAAAGAATAAATGTTGTAGTTCATTGGCAAGGCTAGGAATCAGGAGTTCTAGGCTTTCTGCCTAAGTCTTCCATCTACTTGCTGTGTGACACTGAACTTTAACTTCCTTTATACTTTCATTTCTTTATCTGTAAATGCAGATAACAGTGGTCCTTATCTCACAGCAGCCTTGTGAAAATTAATGAATGGTCATAAAGTACTTTGAAATCCTTAAACAAAAACAGCTATGGAAGCAGAGGGTATTATAGATCTCATTTTGACCATTGAAAAGATCGGTATTCTTTAAAAGCAGATTTTGCTGCCAAAAAAAAATTAAAAGAGGAAAGGATTTGTTTGAATGATATCTTTTATTGGGCTAACTGTAGAGTTGGGATAAAGTTGGACAAGCTTTCGAATGCAAAGTATTCTTCTTCTCAATGGTCCAATGAATAAAGTTATCAACGAAGCAAATTTTTGCCTTGTATAATTTCTGGGCCATCATGGCTACAACATCACTCTAACACTACCCAAAATTAAGCAACTAAATGTACTGTATGAACAGCAGTAGAACAGCTGTTGTGATCAATAATGTAGTCCACCTGATGTCAACACTGTTTAAAGTAGAATGCAGAATATATTGTAACCTTCTCTGCAAAAAGTGGAATAATTAACAGCTATATAGTTTTAATCCTTAGGGTAGGATCCTGCAATATGAGGTGTATGCCTTAGTAAACCATTTCCTGGGTCATGTCTGCTCAGCAGTTTTTATACAATACATCAGATTCTGTGAACACAAATAAAAGGTGCTTTCTTTCTAACAATGATTTCCTTTGGTTTGTTTTTAGGAATGCCCTTCAGATGTTGGTGACTTTAGAGCACAGCAATGTTCAGCCTACAATGATGTCAAGTACCAAGGACATTTGTATGAGTGGCTTCCTGTATATAATGATCCCAGTGCACCTTGTGCTCTTAAGTGTCAAGCGTTGGGGAAAAACTTGATTGTAGAGCTTGCCCCCAAAGTACTAGATGGCACTCGCTGTAATATCGAATCTCTGGATATGTGCATCAGCGGCATATGTCAGGTATGTCAATGTTTTCAGTCACACCATGTGTTTTGATGTGAAGCATTTTGTTCTATTTTAGGATATAAGAACAAGATGAAAGGAAGGCTTATTTGGATTTTGTTCTTCCAGAATGTTGTTCTTTGCTGAATTTGTTCATCTTTTCCACCTTACAGCGTGACTGTTAATATTTCTGCAAGTGCCCACAGTTGCTCTTGAATGTTATCTGTCGTAGTCAAGTTTTGTCTTTTAGTGTACTCATAAACACCAAAACTGCCGTCTTTTAAATAACACTTC